AAAAATTTCTATTTTTGAAATCAAGCTTATCTTGCATCAAATAAGCAAGAGATAGGGATGCAAACCATAGGTTTGCAAAATGAAATGCATATCCGGTAAGGGCAAAAATGATGCAGAATGTGAAACTATGCAGCACAAGGCACCAATTGAAAAACAAAACAAAAAACAAAAAAAAAACGAGCTTCATTAATAGCAGAAGGTGGGGACTTAGCCCTTACATACATTTTAAAAAAGAAAAAGAGAGGAAAAGAAAAGAAGGAAGAGAAGAAGAAGCTCTGCCTGCAGATGCCTTGGGGTATTACTCCCCGAAGCGGATCATCCTACTAATCTTAGATAGCTTCCTCCTCACAGAGGTCAGAAGCTCCTTCACTCGTTCAACTTCTCCTCGATAGAAGTCGGACATATTTTGGTGGTGCTCCACCTCTCGATGGAAACGAACCACCATTTCCCTTAAGCTTGCAATCTCTTAGACTTCATGCCCAACATAAGCCCAGCTTCAAGAATCTCCTTGAAGGACAATGTGACGATGGAAGCAGCAATGGCCTCCTCTAAAGAAGAGACCAGGCCCACAACAACGAAGGATGTGATGCACTTTTTCTCGACCTCGGACAGACCAACAGTCGTAGGGATGTTAGTGGTACGCCCTTCCTCGCCCTCATCGCTATGAATGGCAACACTAAGTTCAGGGTTGAGAGAAATGGAGAGATGCCTAGGAAGAACATGGGAAGAAATGTTTAAAAGAAGGTGAAGAGTTGGAAACCGTTAGGACGGTGAACTGACAAAACCGAGTAACCGATGGTTTTATAAAATCCCATGAAGAAGTAGAAGGATCTTTTCCCTGGAAATGATGACAGATGTATAGGAAATAATGAATGAGATGGTTATCCGTTCCCATGTTTAATTAAGAAGGTTGGGAAGAGGTGCGCATGAGCTGCCTTCATGAAGAGGGTGTAAGACGTACCGTGTCAACAAGTCCGCCTGAGATTGGCCAAACGCTACACACCTTTCAAGGTTCTCTCATACATGAAGCGTCCAAGGTGGTTTTGTTGGGTCTACTTTTGTCTTATGTAAGACTAGATACATTCTAATGAACCATTGGTGAATGTTGAGTAGTGAATGACCCATATGTTGCCTTGAAAATATATTACTTAGCCCCAATACAAGGCTGAGAACGACCACTTGAAGACATGCAACAAACATATGATGGATGATCATCTTTAATTGATGGTCAAGAATAAGTGTGGTTCTTAATCACATCATTCAAGTGTCCACATTTAGCAATATTACGAGTGTGACTTAGTTTATGAGTTTTGAGACTAAGCAAAGATTCTCGAAGATTCATGTTCAAGGCATTATAATTCTTCCCTTGAAGTCTCAGTTTCAACAACAGTCTCAAGCTGCCTAGAGATGGCTCAACCCATCTCAGACTCAACGGCAGTCTCAAGTTGCCCATAGATGGCTTAATCTATCTCAGTTTTAATAGGAGTCTAAAGCTGCCCAGAGATGGCGTAACCCATCTCAGTTCTAACAACAGTCTCAAGCTACCTAGAGATGGCTTAACCCATCTTACTTTCAATAATAGCCTAAAGCTACCTAGAGATGGCTCAACCATCTCAGTTTCAACGGCAGTCTCAAGCAGCCCAGAGATGGCTTAACCCATCTCTGTTTCAACAGCAGTCTCATGCTGCTCAGGGATGACTTAACCCATCTCAATCTCAATGGAAGTCTTAAGTTGGCCAGAGATGGCTTAACCCATCTCAGTCTCAACGGAAGTCTCAAGCTGCCTAGAGATGCCTTAACCCATCTCAGTCTCAATCACAGTCTCAAGTTACCTAGAGATGACTTAAACCATCTCAATTTCAACAGTAGTCTCAAGCTGATCAGAGATGGCTTAAACCCATATCAGTTTCAACAGCAGTCTAAAGCTGCTTAGAGTTGGCTTAACCCATCTCAGTTTCAACAGTAGTATAAAGCTGCCCAGAGATGGTTTAACCCATCTTAGTTTCAACAACAGTCTCAAGCTACTCAGAGATGCTCAACCCATCTCAATTTCAACGACAGTCTCAAGCTGCCATAAATGGCTTAATCCATCTCAGTTTTAACAACAGTCTCAAGCTACCCAGAGATGGCTTAACCAATCTCAGTTTCAACCATCGTCTCAAGCTGCCTAGAGAGATGGCTTAACCCATCTCAGTTTCAACGGCAGTCTTAAGCTGCTCAGTAATCCCATTGGAGTTTCAACGACAGCCTCAATGATGGCTTAACACATCAGCATCATAGTTCAGCAGTTAGCACCTTAAAAGCTTTATGGGTTGTACGACATTCAATTACCAAAGGAGAAATTTCTTCCTCAATACAAGTTCTCTCATAAAGATTAGCACCATTAAACTCTTGGCTCTTTGTCTTATCACCTTTAAAAGGTGTAGCATGGATTGAGTTGAACAACAAAAGTAGTTGTAGCCCACTAACAACACTTGCGAATCCCTGATTTTCCTCCCGCGAGATCATGAGGTTCGAAAGTTTGAAATTTAAAGACAAACACCAATGATAAACGCAAGAGGTAAACAACAACGTGAAAGAATAAACGCAAGAGGTAAACAACATTATGAAGATAATGACTATGTCCTGCAAAATTTGTGATTCAAATGGATAAATCCAAGAAAAAGATGGAGGGTGAAGATTTGAAAATGGGAAATGCATGGTTATCCCTTGAAAAAAGCATAATTTAGCAGTATAAAAAGGGGACTTCTCAATTGAAAAGATGTCGCACATTTCTGATAGATACAATTCAGTAAAGACAAGCGTTCCTGCGTGGTTCTACCTCAGGTAAGAACTAAGAGTGGTAAAGAGGGTGATATTCAAGACACGAAGAGAGAGATAATCATTTCCTAGGACTCATTTGAGACTCGTTCTCTTAGGAAGACCGGACTTGAAAGATAACACCGGTTTCAAAGCCAGAATAAAAGGTTTTTGACTTATTTCTTTTTCTTCAGTCGATGTAAATTGTAACAAATAATTAATCCTCCCGGAATTGTTAAGTGGCTAATATAAATATAAAGCCTATGTTTCTGATATAAAGTGCAATCGTAAATTGCCCCTGAATATGATGTCCTATGGTTTTCTATTTGGAATCTAATATTTGTTTAAACGTTCCACATTTAAGCATCCACATTTCGGAGCGTCCAGTGATGTGACTCTACTGGGGAGATAGAGACCGAAGTGAGTCATGGGGTGGTGGTTTGTTGCAATGGGTGGTTTAAAGAGAGCCATGTGAGGTGCGACTTAATTGAGAAGAGGGAGACTCAACTGAAGAGCGATGGTTTGTGTTGGTATCGACACCCTCGTGTGCGACGACTGAATGATGGGGGAAATGTGAGGTGATGAGAGATTACGTGAGAGGTAAGGATGGAAGTGTGAAGGGATGAGAGAGGTGTGAGATGAGACAAGAGATGAGATTTGGGGGAGAGACGGAAGATGAGATGAGAGATGAGATGAGAGAGAGATGAGAGAGGGAGATGAGATGCGAGAGGTGGGGGAGAGAGAGGGAGATGAGATGGGAGAGAGGGACAAGAAGAGAGAGAGACGAGACGAGTCGGTGGCTAGGCCACCAACCCATGAGGGAGAGGGGAGAGACGAGAGAGGGATGAGAGAGAGGGAGGACGAGTCGGTGGCCCTAGGGGAGAGATCAGAGATGGGGAGAGAAATGAATGAGAGGGAGAGGAGAATAGGCTGGCAATCAATGAGAGGGAGAGAGAGATGAGTGGGGGGGTTCACCCCTGCCCTTTACTTTTGATGGTGGCCCTGCTCAGGAGCCCGATTTCAACCCAAACTTGGGTATTTTCAACTAAGCAGGGCCCCATCTTTGCAATGGGCCCGGTTTCTCTTGATTATGACACCATTTGGGCCTTCATACGGTCGTTTTGACCATTTCCCTTGGGTGACTTTTGCTTCATGCCTTGTGCAAGGGCAAGGGCAAGGGCAACCATTTCTCCTCTTCCTTTTTACCTCAAATTCCTTGATCACTTCAAAAGACACTTTCCTTAGAGTGGACTATATGGGGATTAAGGCATTGTGAGGAGTTATGGGGGAAACTCTACCACTTTTACCCCTTGTTCATGAATAAAAGAGGGGTAACCCCCTCATTTTTACCACTTCTCCTCATTTTCTTACTTAATAGAGAGAGAAAGTGAATATTTAACTCTTTACTGAGAGAAAGGGAGAACCTTTGAGGGCTTAGTGAGTGTTCGAGCATCCAGATCCCATGGCGAGCACTTCTCTAGCTTTTGAGTGCAGTAAGCCTGCTACTTTCTTTTCGTTCTCTTTTTGTATGACTTTAGCTCATTTTTGCATGTTTTTCCTTACTTTTACATGCTTTTTTATAATTTTCCAAGTCTTTATTGATATATATATATATATATATATATATATATCCTGTAACCTATTATTCTTATATTAACTAACTCTGTAGTAGTAAATCCTAAC